CAACTGTTCCTTGCAAATCCGACCGGCAAAAGGCCCAGGGGACGGCCAAGATTAGCCTGGTGCAAATATACGGAAGGAGTCTGTTCCAGACTCTATTTGTCTTTGCCGAAGCTCAGAGTCTGGCAGAGGATCGGGAACGTTGGAAGCTCTGTCTGACGTGTCTGCCTCCGCGACCCGAAAGGAGAAGCGGCGATGGAAGATGAAAATGACATCGAGAAGCTGGTGTGATGTAATGAAATGTCGAGCCGACACGGCTAATTTTGGACGAATTTCCGCTATGACCACATGATCAGACAAAATGCAGGCTTCACGACTGACGCAAGTCTGGAGTAACAGGTTCCAGTTACGTGCTACTACGTCAACCAACGGATGTCAACCTGAACTTTTAAATTAGATTACGAAGGAAACGATTTCGCGGAAGATTAAACTGCCTTTCATGCAAAGGCTTAACAAACGACACCCTTTGCCATTGGCGTTGTCAACACCGTGATGGTCGACTACTGGCGCTGTGCTGTGCTCGGCCCCCACCTTCGTCATGAGGTCATTCTTACAAGTATTACGTCCTGATGTGCACTGACAAATGACTGCAAGCGGTGATGTAAAACGTCTTTTGTGCTGCCACTCGACAAATGCATTGGATTATGGGCGACAATGATGTTCAGCGTCGCCTCTCTGACATTTATGCGGCAGAAGAAGATTCACTTGGAAACCTATTCTACAGAAATGACCGCCCGGCTTAACCTCGGGTACAAGAGGATACCGATACCAGGAGGGAGTAATCTACTCTGGATTGACCAAAAAATGATCATGCATTCTGCAAGTCAAACGTTCCTATCCACAACAGACGAGCTTTCGTAACCACTAGTACATCGAGTTTGCACCGTCAGGATGTATAACAGACATTAGCCAACTTACCTGTCAAACAAGGAACGATTGTTCAAGCATGCAACTCAAAACTTATCGCCTGTAGTACTAATGGCTGTAACCGAGAATTTCTTAGTTCCGAAATGCTGATAAGCTGTGAGCGTAGACTCTCACTAAAGGGTCAATTCGACAACGAACCCTTCAGGATGCTTTGACTAAATTAGAGCTTGCCATAAGATGAGGGTCTGCGATTAAGTCGATGTTAATCCCCATACTAGCCTATGCCGTAAGTCGTGTCATCACCAAAGAACTGCAATCCTGCGTAAATGCGCTTAAAATGGGCCTTCTGAGATTCATCGCTGGCTAAATGCCCATCAACAGGGTGCAGATATAGTAGATTTTGGAAAATCATGGTCTAGCGCCGCTGCTTCCTCAGATTGAGAAAACACACCTGCGATGATTTGGGCACATTTTGTGCATGCATATCCAATGTCAGAACGGAAGGCGAAACAGATACTACTGGTTCGATCGACCGGTCAGAGATCCTGAGGAGGGCCAAGAATGAACTTGAGCCACTGCCTCGACAGATTGCTTTGGCTCCAGATTCAGACGCTGGCAAAATTTGAGACCCTGCCTGACGCTGCTGCATGCGTGACCTGAATGGATACGTTGTCATCGAAACAGCGGTTAACCGTTCGCTGATTAACCTAAAAGGTAATGAGAAAATGGCACTTGACGTGCCATAATTCGCCTTTAAATCTGACGTCTCTGCTTTCGTCAGAAACGAGACCATCGAAGATACCTCACAAATAAGACTATTATTCATGAAGTAATGTCGGTGATGGATTCTGTGCCGGCAGAAGAAGCAGGCGATTAAAACGAAAATTTTTGTACCCCGTTTATAAAGCTATTTCTCTGAAACGGTAGATAGTTGAGGCATCAGCAGCTAGCCGTAGGGTAGCGCCACTCACTGACGAAAAAGAGTGACCGGAACGTTCAACAATGCTTGTAATGTCGCCGTTGGCTCACATGAGTTTTAACATGAGTGCGCTTTGAAACCGAGGCGCAGTTTCATATGTAATGTATGCGAACGACACGGCTCGCAGTGGTACTCATTTACATACTTCACAAGGATAAAGATGAAGTGATGAAAATAGATTCGAACCAAGCCACCTTTCGACCGTGAATCCAGAGTTTGACAGAGCAATTCACTCTAGCGAAAGCTTAGAATTATCAGCATCATGTTTCATTCAATACTGCGTAGCGCAATTAGACCGTTCTAGTAAAATACGAGTTAAGCTGCTGTCTGCACATCTGCCTGACGAATTTTACCGTTGTCTACCAAACGCCAGGAGAACATTTCTGAGGACGAGGCGAATACAAGCAATAGTTTAGCGTTTTACCACTTATGTGATACAAACGCATAACAAAATACGACACACCGAAGTATTAAACAAGATCCTACCTAGCTGTTAAACAGCTTACGGGTAAGCAAAAAGCAGCGAAATAAACTGCAGCCTTGAACAAACGGAAAATCTCAAGTTGACAGTCACTAATCAGCGTAGGAGTAAATACTCACCGCTTGTCGATGATTCAAGTAGGCTGGGAGCCATAAAGGAATTCGACGGAGAGACCCGATGAGCTGAATCTGAAAATTAGGTACAAAAATTTATTTAACAGCGCAGTAGATATCAATTGTTTTGTTCTGAACGCCCAACAGATAAAATGCACCGACAGAGAAGTTTACTCTTATTATCGACACATTTCAACCGATTCATCGAAATTAGTATCACTCTCTTCTTCAACGTTCAGGTTCAGAGAATCTTCCGCGAATTCTTCAATAGTCCACTTTGGAAAGACGCGCTTGTACAGATCCATGAATATTACGTCTTGTGATCGAAGTTTGCCGTTGAAGGCGCATTTCATATAGCCGTGAGTACCTACAAAACGTACAATGAAACGGATGCAAAACGTCCAGCGTCTTCTCGCAAACTGAGAAAAGTAGCTGAAGGTCGCGAAGCCATATTTGTAAATAAATTCAATCACGCCAGAAAGAAAAAAATGAAATGCGTTGCACTAGTTAAAGCTGAAATAACAGTAACAAAATAGCTTACCTAACGACTCCTTGATGTGTCCTCGTTTGCCGCTAGCAGTTCTTATTTCGACCGGCTTGAACCAGTCAATGTCCTCTGAATGACATACCAAAATTGGTACAACTCACTAAACAATGACTGATATGCAGCGTACCTGGGTTGAAGAACATGTGCCGAACCACTGCCGTTCTCCCGTGAATCTTAAATGGCTCTCCTGACAGAACCACTCGTTTTACAACAATACGACTCGGACAGACATCAAGAAGACTTCCAGTCGCAACCAGCTGAAAGTCTCCTGAAATGAGCGACAAGTTAATGAGTCCTAAGTGAAACAATATCAAATGGTGACCATCACTTACTGTCGTTCTTCTGCGAGTACACAATGACTCCAGCAGGCGGAATCGTGATCGGTGCAAATACGGTCGCTACGACGTAGTCGTCGTTAGGAAGAAATCGTTCAAACTAAAATTTGTATCCTCCTCATTCAACAGTACAACACCTCGGTCGTAAATTACTTCCTTGATGTGAAAGTTTAATCAATCAATTACTATAAATGAATTAATTCACTGCGCGACAAAACGTACATTTGTGAAGGTGGACATAAGATTACAGAAAGGAACAGGAGCAAATCATTCGACAGCGAAAATCCCGAGACGACTTATTAAGGGACTTAGCTATTTCTGAAAGCGATTAAAATTTTAACCTGTTACATATATCTGTTACGTAACTGATAAGCATGCACTGAATACCAGAAGGAACATTACTGAGGCCCAGGAAAGCATGGTTTTAAGCAGTTAAATTACGCGATAAGTTGCCACGCATTGTAAGCAAAATACGACTGAACCGTGGCTTAATTAATTAGCCATGTTTAAAAGTTTGGTTGTAATTATAATAATTTTATTTTCTATTAGTTAACAGGGCGCACGATGTCTTAATGGACCACTACAGCACAACGAAAGGAAGCGTACGTGAAAATTAGCAATATGCACTGACGTATATAAGAGAAAAAACGTTATACTAAGCTGTGTGCAAAGCACTCATATTATAAGTTTTAGGACATGAGGAGTACATCTAAACTGATAGTGAAATTCACAACAGCTGGATAAACTGTTTTGCATACGATTGATATCCCCAACCGGATTAATACACCTGATTCGAAAACTTGAATGTGTCTAGATCAGAAACAGTGATGAAGCAATATACGGATGAATCGACCTTGCTGTTGTCAGACAACCGCGGCAATACTAAAAGGTGGCCAGCAAATGCTAAAGATGCGAAATTAAATTTACAGACGTTAATAACTTGGTGAAGAAGGATGTGGTCACAATCAAAAACTAGAGGCTGTCCAGGTCTTTTTGCTGTTTCTCATTATATGTGTACATGCCTACAAGACTTCACTCCCTTGATAATTTCTTGTACCTATTGGTTACCACCGACAAGACAAAGGCAAAACAATCAGAATAGCGAAAAAACATGCCAATAGTTCGGATGCCCGACATGATATCCAAGATGATATGAATCATCTTCTCTTAAGACGACTGATTTGATACAGTTAAAAGACAGTATTTTTGCTTCATTCCGTGTCAGCTTCACCTGTGGAGCAAATGTGTATAGTCGAATGTGTCCGCGACGAAGCAAAGTCACTTGCAAGAGCATGAAAGTCGGATCACTGTCCGTACGGGTAATGTAATTCAAGAAGTAGTACGAATGTTCGACATGAACATAACGGAGTCAGGGACGAAAACGACGCATGTCTCTAGACAGACGTTCGCACTGGCAATTTCTTTATTCGATCAATTGATTATGTCAGAGAGTTTCGTTCACTCATGATTAACTGCTTCTCACAGGCCGGCATCCTTGTCAGCACTACAATGCATGGTTTGTTCTACTTCTTGAATGATATTCACCCTCTGAATTCACATCGGTTAGGATAACAACGCCCCTGCGTTTACAATAACAGTAATAAACTCATCACCTTGTGCTTGTCGCCATTCGTGTGCTGAGAAAAGATCGGACGAGCAATGAAGCGTCGCAAGCCAACTTGAAAGATTAACCGATCTTTGGACTTCACCGTTTCGTCACAATTCTTCCATTTCCGTACTACCATGTTAAGAACGCTCATTTTATGTTCATGCTGAAGCAGGCTGAAGGCGACCATGGTTTTCGTCGATCGAATAAATCCTTAAAGTTTAGTATTTAACAACGCAATAAAAACGAATGCCAGATAAGATGAAAACTAGGTGAATGACTGAAAAACGTTTTTCAGTATAAAGGCATAATACCTTTCGTATGATACAGTATATCAATTAGCAAAAAAACGATGCATATAAGGTAGTATATGAGGAGTACAAACTCCTGAAACATCGTTCGTGATAAGCGCGATGTGGTCTAAGAAACAAAACGATTCGAGATCCATCGAGCACTGTAGATATTCAAATACAATAAAAGCCGTTAATGACTACCCTGTGCAACTAGCAGAAAGGGAGAGGGTGCAATATGCCAGAAAACCTGATCACGGATGAACATTCAGAAGAAGAGTTCACACGAAACATATGGCACAGCAGAGCAAATACAACGCAGTGCAGCTTACCAAGGCCACTAAGAATTAAAGCCTGTAACAGGAAAAAATGATTTCAATCATTATGGGTATACAGGTTAAAAAGAAAACTAACTAACTAAATCTCACAACTTCAACAGAAGATCTTGCGAAATTATTTTGATACTGTTTCACTGAATTCGCTTTTTGCGTGTATGATGAATGCTTTTACAGTATCCCGATGTTCAAATTCGGTTTCTGAGGGTGCAGGGAAAACATTATGTTTGCAGTAATACTGCAAGGTAGCCTACAAATGAAGCGAGTTGTGTCGATGCATGACAAGTACTGAAACGTAATAGAACGATGGATGACGGAATGCATCTGAAGGCATCTAGAAACAAAGCACTGGCTCCATAACGCCTTACAGCCTTGTTAGATGCAAATATGCATATTGCACCATTGTGTAAAATGCACTTTCATACCCTTCGAACGACAAAGTATCAGTTATTAGCAGGCAGGAAGTTAAAAATGAAGTTCAAATACTTTCAGCGACCTTCTTTGGAACATGGGAAACGTGGACGCGAACGTAGCAGTTATTCTAAAAAAAGCTCACAGTCCGTATGATATAAGAGACAACGTGCCCTACGAAATCGCCGCATTGCTTTAGCTGGACGGCGTGTCTGACGGCAGCTTGAAAATTTTGAAACTGGTAGATTCTGGCGTACTCTGGAGGTAAGTTTTCGTTTGGATCCCATGGCGATGTACGAAAGCTCTTCAGACCTCGATACCTTAAATAAAAATGTCGTGATTCTTGTGATTACAATATGACCCGAAAGCGCAAAACCGCGATAAGAAAAACTTAAACAGAAAACACGTTGTCCATCAACCAATTCAACACACACCACCAGAGCGTTTCCTGTCTTGTGCGGATCTCTGAATTAGCATAAATGTGAGTTATAATTCTCACTAAGTTCGGCGTTTTAGGTTGTTGCTTTGCTCCGACCTCGCTGTTATTTTTGCACTATCCAGCGATTAGCCACTGGAACCAGACAAGAGTTAATATTTTCTACCGTTGCTATTCCGTTATTCATAACGACCCAACAGTTTCTTGAGATAATTTATCGTTGCTCCATGCGACGCTGCTAAAGCAGGAAAGCCTTTGTGCTACTGCAAAGAAAAGCCCAGGGTAGATTACATTTCAAACGGCAATCGCTGGTACGGCGAAACATCCACTAGTTGACAGAAGACTATCAAAATCAATGATCTCACGACCTCTGACATATCCAACACATTTATCACCGAATGTCCGGTCAGCACTGAACAAGATTCGGAAAGTACGCAAGCCGTTGGAACCGAGCTTTGCCACCGATCAGTCATGCCGCTCCAATGGAAGTCCTGAATGACCCCAAACGACAAAAAACAAACATTCGCACAAGCTTATGCTGCAGAACGTGATTAATGTGCAAATTAGGTCAAATGCAAAAATAGACATATTTTAAAACTTTCTCCGCATTTTCAAATATAAATCTTCAATCTGTTGATAGCAACCGGTAGAACCAGAGAATAAACTTTTACTGGTTAAATGAATGAGTGATTCACCGAGAGATAAATACCATTAGCACTTAATATAAATTGTTATCAAAGCCTCTAAGCATGAAGAAAATGCATGATGCTTTCGGACGAAACATCGTGACAAGTGAACAAACAAACTGAGTCAACAAAACAATACTTCTAAAGGCTTCATTGGATTTGTCACATACCAAACAAGTGGCCAGACACGCTGACCACTCTCAATTCATGATAACGTATTTATCATATGTGCAAACCGTTCTCAACATAGAACAATACAAAGATATGATACAAAAGGCCCCTGCGCTGAGGAATTACAAGGAGTACAGAGCTTTCTACAGTTAACCAAATTTCAGTAGGGCTATTTTAAGAAAATAAATGTGCGGGTATGCACTCACTGCCTTGTCATATTAACTCGATTCTCTACAACCAAATCACAGATCAAAACTCCTAATTTACTTTGCACATCCGCATAACTTAAGGATAAACGATTCTTCAATAAAGCATTTTTCCAGGTTTACATATTTTCAAGAACTCCGCCGTTGCCGGTTGCAACAGAAAGTGAAGGGTTTCAGACAGTGGCGAACTCTCCGTAAACCTTAGTCACCTGCCCCGCAAAGAATTGCGGGTTATCGAACGCTATAATGGCACGACAATCGCCTGGCTTACCAAGAGCGATGCATGCTGCAGAATAACTGAAACAGGCTGTGAAAAGAAGGGCGTTCAGAAACTTCTTCTCGCCCTCTGGTAGACAGATGTTTAGTGACATGGCTGCCGAAGATACCAATGAACATCAGAGCCTCTATCCGTTCTGAATGGAAATGGGACACATCGCTATAACATTACAGCACGACAGGTATTGTTACACGAACGATATCGAGAGTGGAACTAACAGTCGGAAAGTGCAACATCTTATCATACGGAGAGAACGAGCAAGAACTAGTTGATGAGGCCGCAAGGTAAAAACTCGACATACTTTGACCATCGTTAACTAAGTGCCAAGGCTATGGAATTTTGGACCTCTGAGTGGGGAAGCTATTCCACTAAGGCAACGACCTGCGCTAACGACGGTGATGGTGTTAAGGTAGAAGTCAACTTAGAAGTCAGAATAACTCAGTGGAAGCCTCTCACAGAAAATGAGGCAACCATCCGGGATGATGTTACAACAGGCTAAAGCCTTGATGTTGTTACAGTTCGAAGCGCACAATCTGGCGGGATACTATGAGGAAGTGGAAAGTAGTCATCAAGAAATGTCGACTACGTAGTCCGTTATTCCAACAGTCGATTTCAAAGCGCATGCCAAAGCAGACACTGAAAAGTGAAAAGCCGGGACTGGAAATTACGGATCTAACGATCTCAACTATAACGGCTAAAGTTGCTGCGGTCTCATGGAAATGACGGGCTGAACAATTTCCACAAGCATCAAAGCATGCATCTCGGGCAGGGGGAAACTTGTGCAAAGAAGTCGAAGAGACATGGCAATCGCATCGTCTGATTTAAGACGCTCAGGAATGGATGCTTTCGTTAAGAGGTGCACCTGTCAGCCGATCATCACCTCGTTGTTGGAACCCTCCGCTGTAAACGTGTAGTAACTGTGAAAACTTGTCGGCAAAAACAATGAGAGATTCAAGTGTGAAACAATCTTTCGCGGATACGAGGGAAAACAAATAGCATCTATCCCAATGACCAATGATGACAGATGTGATAAGTGAGTGGAACCAAGAGTGGCTTAGTGCGCCGCTGTTGAATGTTGTTGTGCAAAGTAGGATGGCCAGCCGCCTGGAGATCAGAAACGCACTTACTGGTGGACATGAAAGGTACAACTGGCAGTCACCGAGAAGAAAGTTGCACATTCAAGAGAAAGCTTGGAAGCAAACAGCCCTCAGTTAGAATGCGGGACGAAGAAGAGCACAAGATGGCAGGGAAAGCAGTGGTCAAAATGAAAGCTGATTATTGGGAAAAATTGAACGAAGTGATTGAGTCGCAGGCCACCAGGCGCTCTGAGATGAAAGAAGGGCAGTCTAAGGACACTGAAAGACAAGTCTGGGCGCCCTCAGAACAAGGTCGAGGGCATACTTTAGCGAAGGAGGGAGTACTCTGAGAAACAGCAACATGACTCGCCTAAAGAGCTATAAATGAAATCACACAAGCTGCGAAAGGCTGCTGAAATCGACGAAATCAGCGCTGAAATGCTTACAGCATAAGGTAAAAAAGGCGTGTTTTCGATCACACGTATCTGTCAAACTGCTGCGGCTATGAGAAAGGCACTAGCTAACTGTAGAATGGGAGATATATCACCCCTGTTCAAGAGGGGAGACAAAAGGGAGTGCTGCAATTTGAGTTGTACGGGTAAAATGCAAGCATCACTTTATTGAGTTGTACGGGTAAAATCTACGCAAACACGTTAAAAAGGAGGTGCGGAAAAACCTAGTCACAGCAAAGGTACAAGAATAGCGGTGTGACTCAGTTCAAGCCGAAGCACCTCTGACCAGATCTTCGTTTTATGACAGACTGTTGAGAAATCGAAAGGTTTCACTCATTCGATTTAAATGCGCTTCGTAGACGTGGATGAAGATTATGACCGGATCCTACGCAACAATCCGTTGGCGTACCTGCGACCATGAGATCGATGGCCAGTTGCTACGGAACAACCAATCAATAAATGCTGAAAGCAGGTGCTGCATCAGAATAAATGGCGTTAAGTCGGGACATTTCAGGGTTAGCACTGGTCTCCGGCAATGCTACGTTCAATCCCCTCTCCTGTTTGTGTTGTACATAGATTGAATAATCAGGCGCAACCAAGGCGATGAGTGTATCGGTGTAGGAGATGTGAAGTCGAGAAGGTTGCTGTTTGCAGACGTCCTTGTTTCACTGGTATCTTCTGAAACTGATCTACAGTGCACCCTGGAAAGGTTCCAGTCGAGTGCAACGTCGCCGGCATGCGTGTAAACGCATCTAAAACGAAAATTCGAGGGCTTTCTCGTTCTCCTGCCCGTGGTTTTCTTCAGATTAAAGGAGAGGCGGCGGGGCAAGTGGAGAAGTTCAAGTAAATCGGGGTCATGTTTAATGGTAATCGAAAATTTGACGAAATGATCGGTCGGCAGAGTGGAATTGCTAGTGGCGTTCTAAGTGAACCAGCCCGAACCGTTGTGACTAAGGCAGAGCTAAGTTTGAAGACTAAGCTCTATTCATGTCGATCATTCCAATACTCTCCTACGGATATGAGTCGTAGGCCGTGAATGAAAAACTTCGATCCCTTGAGCATGCGGCTGAAATGGGCTTTCTGAGACCAATCGCTAGGCCAATGCATCTCGACATGCTCAGGAGTACAGATGTGGGAGAAAGAAAGCCTTGGTCTATGGCTGCTCTTTCTCCAGACCGAGAAATCACAGCTGAGAGAGTCTGTGCACGTTTGCGAAAACTGTCAGAAAGGAAGACGAAAAGCTACGAGCTACTATTTGTCCGTCGACCGGCAAAGACCTCGACGGCGGTCAAGATTAACCCGAGGAAACTGTATGGAAGGACGCTGCTCCAAAATCAGGTTATCTTCAGCCGAAGGTCGAATGCTGGAACAGGATCGGAAACGTTGTAGGCACCGTCTGACGGGTATACGTCGGCGACTCAGAACTAGAGCCACTACAGGCGCTCAAGTCAGACAACATGGCCGTTCCTCTCACCCATTTCAGTATAAACGCATCAAACTGCCATGCTGTCCCTGTTGTTCGCAGGTTAACGACTTGCTCCAAATTTTTGACTGCATATACTGGAGCAATCTGTAGTGAATTTGTTGCTCAAGGGAATTAGCGGTTGATAGAAACGGCTACTCTCGCAGAATTCGAACTTGGCACTTCAGAGATTCAAAGCCGACCTCAGGCGACTTGCTATCAACCCTTAGTACTTTCTGCTGTTTACTTTAATCGTATTCATGAACTGTCAACATTTCACTGCATGTTCTACGGGTGAATTAGACGTTGCGTTTTCACAAAGATCTTTAACTTCCGGAAAAGTCGCTTCTGATACAGATTTCTTTCTATAAGGACTGGATTAATTTTTATTCCACGAGCTTCCTCTTTGAAGGAGCATACTTTACGCGATGAGTGCTTAGACACTTTTCGACCCTATGCAAAGCTACATTGACTTCGTTCAGCTTCGCGTCGTTCTTCACAACATCGTGATACATTCTCTAAATTCATTAGAGTTCACTTTCTGCCGGTATCAGTGGCTGCGTGAAAGGGTGATAACCGATGCAGTCGTCGAATATTTGCATACGCGAAGTCAAAAGATTCCGTAATGGTCATTTTTAAAGTTTTTGTGATTCAGCAATGCAGAATCTTTATGAAATTATTTCCTACGTTTTCCTTCCTGATGACGACATATACGCGTCTAAGCAATGTCATTTTACGTACTTCAGATAAAGCTCGTCGTTCTAATTGTGGCCACGCATTCAAGTCAGTACAGGAAAATTACTTTAAATCGATTTTGTTTTCTACACAGTGTTGCTTCATTACCTCCACCATTCTCATGAATGGCTTATGTAGTTACTATTAAAAGTTCAATCAGAGATCAAATTCTTCATCGATACTTGCGACTTTATGCATTAAGAAAATAACGATCATTGAACAAGCATAAAAAAACATCATTACTTTTGAAAACGTATTCTGGCAGCAATGTCGTTCGGCGTATCAACTTCATCCGGAAACATCGTATTTCCTTTCTCTTCTTGGCGTCTTGTTAAACTAAAAAGTAATCATTTTGAAAAGTTCTGAGCCAAGCAGAGTAAAAATTCTATCAGTTAATCGAAGAACAAAAATGCGCATGCCTTGCGACGGTAGCCGACGTTTTGGCAATTATTCAAGTCGACGCTTTAAGCAGTCAGAGTGAAACGCAATTTTCGAGGTAAAGTCATGGGAATAAACGTGATCCACGCCTGGATGTACCTGCGAACATCGAGGTATCGAGGTGCCAGGGAAGATTACCATTTACCGACGCTACGCACAGATGCCATCACTTCGATCGACAGAAATACAGACATGAACTTAAGCAGCGAGCTCAGAAATTAACTAGCGCACAAACAAACAAACAAACTGAAGGACCAATCGTCAAGGCCGCAGCAACTGTTACCAGCGATGGTGCAACGAACCAACGTGCCCTGCTGCCGATCATGTTCTGAGGATATGAAATGAGACGCGAAAGATACGACGAACGCTGACGGTGCAACAAACTGCAGTGCAAACGATTAGCTGATGCGCGCGTAAGTTGCCACAAGTAGATCCTAATCATTGCCAGAAAGAGTATTATCAACTGCGTCCTATATCATTCGATAATAAAACTATAAAACTACAGCAAAAAGGTACAAGACAAAGAACTATCGATCATTCAATCTGAGTCGCTCCAAGTTCAGCTGAAACGCACATAAACGGCTAACAAAAGCAAAACGTTGTCGGCCAGGGTAGTTCACCAAGGAATTGAGCATGTAGTCAAAAATACCGAAATCGAATCGAAAGAGGGAGTGGAGATAGTCACAAGTCATTCATCCTTACCCGGCAAAAAATGAATTCCTCCTCATGTGAAAAACATAACTCCGCCATGGCCGGTCCCAAGCCCGGATGAGAAAGGAGGAGGGTTGGAGACCGTGGCAAGT